TTATGCCTACGCTCACATTTTATTTCTTTTTTTAAGCTACAAAATGCTCCTTCAATGTGTCCATTCAATATATATTAGAGTTACTATATACTAATTGAGACTGATTTCTAATGACTTGATCTCTAATAGTGAACTTAACTTTGTAAGAGAAGACATTTTATAAGATATACTATAGGGAAATACTACGGTCTCGTTACGGAACCATTCCATCAAAGTTTTGTAACCGTTAAATCAACTATCCCGACGGTTACATGATGATCTAGCGGTTACAGATACCGACGGAATAGTTCCGTAACGAAACGTAGCATCTCCTCCAGTCCAACATTAAATCAAGAAAATGAAACACACAGTCACACACACACACACAAAAGAAGAAAAGATCTATAAAAGCAGAAAACAGAGAAGAGAAAGGCAGAACTTACCAAATATAGAAAGACTATATCAATTTTGATAACTAAGCTCAATCCAAATTCATCATCATCACCAACACGATCACACTGCACAAAAGAAATAAATAAATAAATAAAGAAGATCAATAACAATTTATCAAAAGCAGAACCAACTTAACCAATGATCACAAAAATTTAAAAAAAGAAATAACAAATAATCAAGAATCATGTATAACAGTATAATAAGGGGGAATTAAATAAAGGGCCAGCCTGATTATTAACGCCGTTAAGTCGAGCTCCGGCAAGAAAACGGAGAACTCCGGCAAAAGGCAGCTTTTGGATTATTTTATACTGTGTAAAAGGACTTACTCTATAATTTAGTGATGGTTAGAAAGAAGTGAACTGAGTCCAGTTCCAGGGTTGTAATAAATAGCAAATGAGAGGTGGGCCCAGCATTAATAATGGATATCTACTCACGAGTAATCGGACATATATAATAAGGTATACAAAATTATTAATTTTGTACTATTAATTTTGTTTTCATTGATATGTTGGTTATATATACTTATGGAATTAAATATAATAAAAATTAAAAAATAATTTAAAATTGAACAATTTACATATAAATATTGGTACATTTACATAATGTGTAGTTGAGGAAAGTTGGAGTACTACTACTTTCCATAAAATTAGTGATATCTGAATATATATCAATCATTTAATTAATAATAGTAAATTATTAATATCACTGTCATAAAGCAGATTGTGGAATTTCTGCATAATTAATGTCGATTACTAATTTAGTACACAAAATGTAACGCCTTATTTTCACAATTATTACCTAAAAAGGTGACTGGGAAAAGTGTCGGTTGATAAATTAATAATAGTCTCATAATATAGAAATTATTATAACTAAAAAGTGGAAGAAGTGTCACTTAATAAATTAATAATAGTATCATTATAAGAAATGCTTCGGTCTCGTTATGAAATTATCTTGTCGGGTGTTTTTTTATATATATATAGAGAGATTAACACAATTAATTGTCGTTAGAACTTATAGTTCTAAAGTGAGTAATTAACATAAAAAAACTTTATTGTTATATTAAATTGTAAAGTATAATTGATATAGCATAAGAGAACATTTATGTAGGTCGATGGAAATCGGATCAGTTTATTGGCCGAGTAGGTGTCGGCTCGTTTAATAGGCCGAACAGATTAAATTTGGTGTGGTACGCGCTCGGCCCATTATTAGCTCGGTTAGGTTATGTTGGACTGGTAGGTGGCCGCTAGGGAAAAGCGCACAAAGAAAGTCAGGAAGCAGGAAATAAAATAGATGGATCTTGTGTGATGGTAGGTATGAGTTTTCACGTTACAAAATCCTAAAATACATACGGTGTATTCTTCGATATATTTTACTAATTTGAGCGTTGGAGGTTTACCACCGAGAATACTTTCCTGCGTCCTTGCAGGTTTCCGAGGGCTCAGTCGGTTCGAGATTAAGGAAGGCCGGTCCAATGTGAAATAGTACATCAAATTATGGTAAGATTGTGAGATTTATGAGGATAATAAATTTTTAATAGAGCACGTAAATTCTTCAAGCACCAGAAGAAAAGGAAAAAAAAAATAGAAAAGGGGGACAGCAAAATATCGGATTTTGTGCAAAGTGTCTCAGCCTTTTTTCTGCAATGGAACCGGAAAAAGAGGACGCGGTAGTACAAATCTTAAAAAAGGTCGTTGGGATTC